AAAAAAAAAAAATACTAGAATTGATGGAGCCAGCAAGTAGTATGGTGGTGAAGGTGTTGGATTCCCACAAAGTTGACTGCTGTTCCTGGACCCAACGGCTTGAAACTCAAGCTCAATGCACGTGCATGCATGCCCAAAATCCCAAGAGCTTGAAACTCAAGCTCAATGCACGTGCTTGCATGCCCAAAATCCCAAGAAGAGAATGGAAGAGAAGCGAATGTGATGTGACCACCATCCCCCCTGGAGAGTGATTTCTCACTTTTCCTTCCCCGGTCTCTATCTCGCTCTCTATCTGGCGAGTGCATGCACCCAATGGGGGAAAAAATTAGAACTGATATATGAAAAAGATTTTGTTTTACCTAACAAAATAACAAGCATGTTTAGAAACCAAATCCTAAATTTTTATTTAGAACTTAGATTGGATTTAGATCAGAAGAGTATGCCTAATAAGTGACTTGTAAGTGAAGGTTGTTAACTATAAAGACATATTAATAGGTCCAGGTTTGGGGGAGGGAGAATCTAGGTATTACGTATTTCTTTTTTTAGAGAGGTTTTTGCTATAGGGCGTGTGCACTCACCAGAAAGACAGAGAGAGACGGAGAGACAGAAAGTGAGACATCACCCCCTGGGGGAGATGGCCACACCGCAATCCCTTCTCCATTCTCCTCTTGGGATCTTGGGCACACACGCACATGTGCCCAGCATGAGTTTAAGCCACCGGGTTCAGGGCTCAAACTGCAGTCAACTACATGGGAGTTCAACGACATAGCCGTTAAGCTAACTGCTGGTCCCGGTTATTTCTAAGACCCCAAACAATAGAGACTCCTTTTAAGTCTGGATCTTGTCTCTGAACAAGACTAGCTTCTTTGGTATATTAGAATTAATGAATTCTTGCATCCCATTGTCTATTCCTTTATTTGTTCTTCATCTCTTTACCCTCCCAGTTGATGTCAACAAATTTATAGCTAGAGGTAAGTTTCAGTAACATCTATATGCAGTGTGGATTGGCCCCATAATACTAAAAAGTATTTTTTGATAGTTCTGTAAAAGAAAGTTTATATATGATAATAGAAAAAGCAACTAAGAGAAAGAGATCTTAAATGGTCATGAAACAGCAGAGTATTATCATAGGAGTTTAAGTATATTGTCTAAGATGTCATAAAGAAAAGGGTAGTAAACATTTTTTTATTTTTTCCTAAAAATGGTTTTAGAGAAGGTGGCCCTAGTCAGAAATAGGCAGATATAGCAGGGGATCCTTTGATAAAAACCGCAGAAGGAAATATTACATTTGCGAAGGTAAGGTCAGAAAACTTGGCAGTGATATTCTTGCCCTTCCGATTACTAAAGATGCTGCCCATTTAATATTTTTGTAAAACAAACAAATAAAAAGTTTTCCCTGCCTTTTTTGGGGGGAGAGGTTTTTGCTATAGGTCGCGTGCACTCACCAGAAAGACAGAGAGAGACAGAGAGACAGGAAGTGAGAAATCACCCCCCAGGGGGGATGGCCATGCCACAATCCCTTCTCCATTCTCCTCTCAGGATCTTGGGCACACACGCACACACGTTCAGTGTGAGTTTAGGCCACCAGGTCGAGGACTCGAACCGCTGTCGACTACATAGCCATTACACTAACTGCTGGTTCCTCCCTGCCCTTTTTTTTTTTTTTTTTTTTTTTGTGGGGTTTTTGATGGCCACTCCGCAATCCCCTCTCCTCCGTTCTCCTCTCAGGATCTTGGGCACGCACACACACGCTCCCTGAGTGAGTTTAAGCCACCGGGTCCGGGACTCAAACCACAGTTGACTACGTGGGAGTCCAGCAACATAGCCATTACGCTAACTGCTGGTCCCTCCCTGCCTTTTGTAGAAAGGACTTCAAAAGTCTCTTTTGAAGGGGGCATGTCTTTCACATGTGGCCATGTGTTTTTGCTCTGCCCCACTGGTACCGTGGATGGAAGTTCAGGTCAGCGTGGCCAGCTTCTCTCTCTGTAGCTACAGGAATAGCTCATTTCGTATTCAAGTGAGTGAATTTACCTCTGACCTAGAATGGAGCTGTGGTTTCTATCTGACCTCTTCTGAATGTGAGCTACCCCTCCATTCCCAGAAAGACATCCTAAATCCTATATAATGTATGATGAGCTACACAGCCAGCAGCTGGTGTCTGTCTTCCACATTGCCTAACGTCCCTTCTTCAGAGCATGCAGGGGCTTTTTCGGGTGACCCGTAGGACAAGGAGCTGAGCATTTTTCCCTTTGGTTGCCTCAGCTAAAGATAGAGGAAGAAGACAGAAGGCTTTTGTCCCTTAACAGTTTTGTCATTTTCTTTATTTATTCAATAAGTTTGAATGGAACATTTTAAATGTCATTGACAATTACAGCTTGGCTACTTTATTTAAAAGCACCGTATTTTTTTATTTCTAATGCAAAAATCTCTCTATTGTAGCTGGTTCCTCTCATTCCAAAAAACCAACTGCCTCCAAAGCATCAGCATCACCATCTACTTCATCCACTTCATCTCGTCCCAAAGCTTCAAAGGAGACAGTTTCTAGCAAAACAGGGATCACTGGGACCACTAAGGGCAAGAAAAAAACTGGCAAGCAGCCAACGTCTCGACTGTCCTCAGACACGACCACTTCTGGCACATCCGACCTTAAAGGAGAGCCTTCGGAGGCCAGAGTGGAGACTCTCAAACCTGAGCAGACTGTCCCTGGGACTGAGGAGACTGTAGGCAAATCCAAGCCTTCTGTCCCTCCACCCCCTGTGGCTCTACCACCTTCTCCCCCCGCCCCTCCTCTTCCTTTTGAGGATCAGTGCATTATTGCCTCAGACACTCCAGTTGTGCTGGTCAGCAGTGGAGCTGACCTGCCTGTCTCTGCCTTAGACCCCAGTCAGCTTCTCTGGACTGAAGAGCCAACGGACAGAACCACTCTCCTCTCAGGCGCTGGCTCAAGTGCTAGCAGCGAAAACGTAAAATGGTGAGTCGGGGCTCAGACCCCTTATTCCCTCTGAGTACTAAAGATCGCTAACGTAGTCTGTTGAAAATGAAGGAACCCAGTGCCCTTTCTTTTATAACTGAATCTACTGAATGTTAGGTAAGCACACGTGGAATCCAACCACTGGCTTTGCATAGCCCTGGCCCTGGGAATGCCGTGGTCTGCCGGAGACAGTTACGTGGTAATGCTGACAAATAGCACTTCTCTGTGGTTTTCAAGTTTGTTTAGAACCTGCTTCAGCACTGTTGAGCAGCCCTTTCTCTTGTTCCTAGGCGATTAGTCCCCTTCTCTTTCCTCACAGTACTTATTTCAGTCTTTACCACTGGTGTCCAGATTGCTCACCCACTCCTGTCTACCTTCATTTCAACAAGTTGTTTAATCATCTCCTTCTCCTAGAAAATAAAGACCATCATGAAAACACTCTCAAATTCCAACCCCTTTTCCTCCAATCATTTCTTGCTCTCTCAATTCGCCACCCAGCTCAAATAGTATCTCCTCTATGAAGCCTTTCAGTACCTCTGGACAGAATTGGTTATGGCCTCTAGTATAGTCAGATTTGGTATAGTATTATTTTTTCCTACATGTGGAACAGAACTAGCCAACATGTCCCAGCAACCAGTACAAAATCTGATATGCCAAAGGCACTCATTGACTGGTTGAATGAAGAGGAAAAATGAGTTAAATTGGTTATAGAAAAAGGCAGCCTTCTCCGATGTGGTAGGACCACTGTTGAAGGTAAGATGACCCTTTCTCTGTAGTTTATGAATAGAGTATAATTGGAGATAAAGATAATGATCCAGTAGTCTTAGTTCTGTTTCAGAGGGTAACCAACTCAAAGGACTTGACTTTAAGGATTAGGGGTCCACCATTATGGAACTGCCCAAGCTAGAAATCTGGAAATCATCCTGGACCCTTATTCACCTTCATTCCTTACATCTAATCCCTCCAAGAGTCCTCTAACTATTTTACTTAAAAGTCATGAGAGGCTCAGCTTCAGTGGCATAGTCAGTAGCATACTGAACTGCATTGCTGGAAGCCACATGGCTGACCATGAGTTCAGATCCCAAGTTGACCTGAAATATAGCGGGTACATATAAGTGTCCAAGATCCTGACTGGAGGGCTGGGAGTAGGGGTTTGCAGCATGACAAGACCCTATTGAGGGTGCTTTTCTCTCTCTCTCTCTCTCTCTCTCTCTCAATCTCTCTTTCTCTCTCTTGCATACACACACATATACTTTCCATCAGAAATAAAATAAACTTAAAAGTAATAAAATATGTTAGCCTTCTGTTCCACAGGTGTGACCATAGGTTGTCAGATATAGTAGACACAGTACTCAATTATGTCTGGAGAAGCTTAGAGCTTTTAAGTACAGCCTCTTCTTTCCTATTTCTAAGAAAACCTTTATTTACTCTTTAAATCATTTAATAGACTCAGAAAAAGAAAAAAAATCTTTGCTATGTGAAACTTTAAAAATATTAAGTACATTAATTCATTTGGATTAGATCAAAAGACTAAAATATCAACTTTAATTATTCTTGATAATAAAAACCTTCATTTATTGAATATTGATTTAATGTCAGGAATTAGAACTGTATATGTGTTGTCTTCCCTGATGTATTCCCATTGTCTAGATAAGAAAATAGCATTGAGGAAAGCACAGTCATTTCTCCAGGAGTGCTCAGTTTTGGCAAAACCAGAATACAAATGCAGTGCTGGACACCATATTCTAGGCTCAGAATAGTTTTACATGTTTTCCAAACAAGTTGTTTCTATTCCAAACAAGTTGTTTCTATTTCTACTGCTGTTCTTTGCTATTAGTTTCTTCTTTGTTTTCATTTTTATCATTTTGAGTAACATGATTTGAAGGAAAGTCAAGAAAAGACAAATAAATGTCAAATTGCAAAATATTCTAGTTGTTTGATCTTCTAATAACAAGATGCAGGGAGAGTCTGGCAGGTAGTGTGGTGGTTAAGGTGCTCCCACACGGCCAATCGTGATTTGAGTCCCAGACCTGGCAACTTGCTTTCCACCTTCCCTTTCTCTCTCTGATCAAATTAAATTTTTAAAAAAGTAATAATAATAACAAATAAAATTAAATAGATAAATAATTATTTTAAAATAATTTTTAAAAAAGATGTGAAGAAAGAAGATAGTGAACTGAATTACTGTGGTATCTATCCTAGTTCAATTTGTGTTGATAAAACAGAATACCTTGACTAGGTTGGTTATTTATTTATTTATTGACAGGTTTTTGCTATAGGCACATGTGCTCACCAGAAAGGCAGAGAGAGACAGAGAAACAGAAAGCGAGAAACTTCTGGCACATCCGACCTTAAAGGAGAGCCTTCGGAGGCCAGAGTGGAGACTCTCAAACCTGAGCAGACTGTCCCTGGGACTGAGGAGACTGTAGGCAAATCCAAGCCTTCTGTCCCTCCACCCCCTGTGGCTCTACCACCTTCTCCCCCCGCCCCTCCTCTTCCTTTTGAGGATCAGTGCATTATTGCCTCAGACACTCCAGTTGTGCTGGTCAGCAGTGGAGCTGACCTGCCTGTCTCTGCCTTAGACCCCAGTCAGCTTCTCTGGACTGAAGAGCCAACGGACAGAACCACTCTCCTCTCAGGCGCTGGCTCAAGTGCTAGCAGCGAAAACGTAAAATGGTGAGTCGGGGCTCAGACCCCTTATTCCCTCTGAGTACTAAAGATCGCTAACGTAGTCTGTTGAAAATGAAGGAACCCAGTGCCCTTTCTTTTATAACTGAATCTACTGAATGTTAGGTAAGCACACGTGGAATCCAACCACTGGCTTTGCATAGCCCTGGCCCTGGGAATGCCGTGGTCTGCCGGAGACAGTTACGTGGTAATGCTGACAAATAGCACTTCTCTGTGGTTTTCAAGTTTGTTTAGAACCTGCTTCAGCACTGTTGAGCAGCCCTTTCTCTTGTTCCTAGGCGATTAGTCCCCTTCTCTTTCCTCACAGTACTTATTTCAGTCTTTACCACTGGTGTCCAGATTGCTCACCCACTCCTGTCTACCTTCATTTCAACAAGTTGTTTAATCATCTCCTTCTCCTAGAAAATAAAGACCATCATGAAAACACTCTCAAATTCCAACCCCTTTTCCTCCAATCATTTCTTGCTCTCTCAATTCGCCACCCAGCTCAAATAGTATCTCCTCTATGAAGCCTTTCAGTACCTCTGGACAGAATTGGTTATGGCCTCTAGTATAGTCAGATTTGGTATAGTATTATTTTTTCCTACATGTGGAACAGAACTAGCCAACATGTCCCAGCAACCAGTACAAAATCTGATATGCCAAAGGCACTCATTGACTGGTTGAATGAAGAGGAAAAATGAGTTAAATTGGTTATAGAAAAAGGCAGCCTTCTCCGATGTGGTAGGACCACTGTTGAAGGTAAGATGACCCTTTCTCTGTAGTTTATGAATAGAGTATAATTGGAGATAAAGATAATGATCCAGTAGTCTTAGTTCTGTTTCAGAGGGTAACCAACTCAAAGGACTTGACTTTAAGGATTAGGGGTCCACCATTATGGAACTGCCCAAGCTAGAAATCTGGAAATCATCCTGGACCCTTATTCACCTTCATTCCTTACATCTAATCCCTCCAAGAGTCCTCTAACTATTTTACTTAAAAGTCATGAGAGGCTCAGCTTCAGTGGCATAGTCAGTAGCATACTGAACTGCATTGCTGGAAGCCACATGGCTGACCATGAGTTCAGATCCCAAGTTGACCTGAAATATAGCAGGTACATATAAGTGTCCAAGATCCTGACTGGAGGGCTGGGAGTAGGGGTTTGCAGCATGACAAGACCCTATTGAGGGTGCTTTTCTCTCTCTCTCTCTCTCTCTCTCTCTCTCTCTCTCTCTCTCTCTTGCATACACACACATATACTTTCCATTTAAAAAGATAATAATAATAAATAAAGTTGAATAATTTTAATAAGAAGTATATTACACTTTAGTCACTTTGATTTGGGCTGTAACAGAACCTTCCTTTCATGTAGCACCCTTGTTAGCAACTACTGATATTTTATATTTTTCAGAATACACAGGTTGGCCACTTTTGCATAACATTTACCACAGCAATTTATCTTACATATGATTTGATAAATGACATTTCATTAGTATAGCATCAAATAATACTTTTTGTAACACATTCATATTAAAGTATGTTCTGGTGGCATAGGGATATGTAATTTAATAGACTCAGAAAAAGAAAAAAAATCTTTGCTATGTGAAACTTTAAAAATATTAAGTACATTAATTCATTTGGATTAGATCAAAAGACTAAAATATCAACTTTAATTATTCTTGATAATAAAAACCTTCATTTATTGAATATTGATTTAATGTCAGGAATTAGAACTGTATATGTGTTGTCTTCCCTGATGTATTCCCATTGTCTAGATAAGAAAATAGCATTGAGGAAAGCACAGTCATTTCTCCAGGAGTGCTCAGTTTTGGCAAAACCAGAATACAAATGCAGTGCTGGACACCATATTCTAGGCTCAGAATAGTTTTACATGTTTTCCAAACAAGTTGTTTCTATTCCAAACAAGTTGTTTCTATTTCTACTGCTGTTCTTTGCTATTAGTTTCTTCTTTGTTTTCATTTTTATCATTTTGAGTAACATGATTTGAAGGAAAGTCAAGAAAAGACAAATAAATGTCAAATTGCAAAATATTCTAGTTGTTTGATCTTCTAATAACAAGATGCAGGGAGAGTCTGGCAGGTAGTGTGGTGGTTAAGGTGCTGGACTCCCACACGGCCAATCGTGATTTGAGTCCCAGACCTGGCAACTTGCTTTCCACCTTCCCTTTCTCTCTCTGATCAAATTTAAAATTTAAAAAAGTAATAATAATAACAAATAAAATTAAATAGATAAATAATTATTTTAAAATAATTTTTAAAAAAGATGTGAAGAAAGAAGATAGTGAACTGAATTACTGTGGTATCTATCCTAGT